GACGAAGAAATCGCGGAAATCGCGCAGGAGCTTCGACGCGCGATAACTCCGAACAACGGAGCGTCGAAATGTCGCCGAAATTCGATAGATAAGAATCGAAATGACTACCGGCGAATGTCGGAAATCGTCCGAGCACCTTGCACACGACACCATTTCGCGAATGCATACGGCACCATTTCGTGATTGCACCATTTCAGCTCCTCGAGCGAGAATCCGGCGAAAGGAGCATTTCTCGAGCACTATATACACTCGCGGTCGTCGCGTATTTCGATAATGAACAATGAATATATGTATTTCTCGCTCTTTGCCGAGTATTTCCGACTCGACGGTTCACGGCAGAGGCCCAACGTACGATGCCGAGCAACATGGCGGCGCGTCGCGACGTACTTGATTACGAGCTTTTCATGGCGCCCAACGACCTTCGACACGACGGCACGGAAATACGACCAGAGACGCGCGATCGGACTTATGCGACGATTAACCATATAAAGATACTCGACACTGTTAACATTCGCACTCGTATACTGTCGCGGACCGGACCGGCAAAAAAGCACGCAAGCCTCAGTCCCAAACCGAAGCTTTGTTGCAGGAAGAAGCAAGTCGGAGTGGTGGGGATGTGTGCGCATGCGCGGTGGCGCGGCGAACCAGTGGTTAGCAACCTAGATTGTATCCGCAACTCTATTCTTGTCTAAGATGAAGCTCGCCCGGCCAATCAGAATAGAGATCCTCGGGCTCCGATTGGTCGAAGCCCAATTGACTCTAGGTGAACATATTTTCGAACGTACAACACAGTCTAGAGTAAATAAAGTCAGAATTCTTAATTATTTATGAATTTTCACAAAATAAAATGCTAACTTTAAACACACCGAAAAAAACTGAATATGAAAAAATTATTTTATAAAGTTATAAATATTTTTCGTAATGTTTCATAATATTCGTTTCGTACATTATTCCTTGAAATCTAATAACTTTTTAAGAATATAGTTAATTTATTCTATGATTCAAAATTTGTATAAAAAGTATCAAAAAGTATAAAACGAATACAGTATTGTGTATGTGAATTAATTTGGTGTATCTATTTGAACAATTTAAACCCGTTATAGCGTAATTTATATGATTAAATTAATTATTTTTTAGGCCAGTGGACTTACCTTTATTGACCACAATCATTCTGGCTACATCTAGTCAGTGTAACTTTAATCTCTATCAGAGATATCAATGAAGGAGAGAGATTCCTTCCGTTTCCGGCTATAATTATCATTACCGCCAGTGCATGAGTGTAATTTTACACTCGGATATGACCGTAAGAAATCACGATTTGTCATACATTGTTAAATTTATATATATATTGTTAGAAAAATATATATATAACCAATTTTGATCAATGACGACGTTATGTTACAAAAAATTAGAACAATCAACGTTTGTTAAAAAAATAAATTATTTTTATATATAATGCAGTTGTTAATATGTACAATAAATAAAATCACAAGCGCGGTTTTTAAATAAAACAAATAAGTGAAATCTGAATTGAATTTTTTATATCGTTCTTTTATTTATATTTTAATTTACACTTATGCAATATGCTTTAATTATGTATATTAAAGTCATTTATCCAAAGTCCAATCTAAGTAAGAATGATTTAATTCTAGTCTATACATTTTAAGGTAACGAATCTATCTTTAACACTTAACTTATCTACAATTTACAATCTATAAAATCTACAATCTACACAATCTACAACTACGATCTATAAATCCGTTACCTCAAAAAATTAAATAAAAATTAACTTATCACTTACTGACACCGATGCACAACAGCGGGAGACTTAAGTAATTGATGTCAAATCTACACGTGTTATCTGTAACATATAAAATCTAAATTAAAGCAACGTTCAAATTAATTATTATTTCAAATATGTAATAAAATAACTTTGTAAGTTAAAAAAAAGTTTTATGTTGAAACTTATATAGAATTTATATAAATATAAATACAGAGTGTCTAATAACTCGCGCCCCACCCGTAAGGTGCAGATAGAGCAAGTCAAACTGAGTAAAAAAATCCTTTACCGTTTTGCGATTTTCTCAATAATAAAAAAGAAATTAATTAATAAAGTTTGGCCAATCCACGCGAGTAGTAGCGAAGAGAAGAAACAGCCAACACGAAGGACCAGCTTTATGCATGCTATTATCTTTTGTCGATTATTATCTTTTGCGTTTGTGTAAGGCACGTGAATTGGCCGATTTTTATAAATTAATTTCTCATTAATTATAATTAATTATTGAGAATTTTGCAAACTGGTAGAGAACTTTTCTACTTACAAAAGAGTATGTAATCCTACTCGTATTTTTGGCAAACACAGGATCAACCGTAATAAATTGTAAAATGAGTATTTAAGCGTGTATGTGCGCGTACATGTAAATATCTACTTAAACGAAACTCTTCCGGGCTTTGTTTATTAACAAATAAATTTTTTTTGTCAGAAATAATCTAAGAGTATGTAACTCTACTCGTATTTTTTGGCACCAAACACAGGATCAACCGTAATAAATTGTAAAATGAGTATTTAAGCGTGCATGTATGTGCGCGTACATGTAAATATCTACTTAAGCGGAACTCTTCCGGGCTTTGTTTATTAACGAATAAATTTTTTTCAGAAATAATCTAAGTGTATGCAACCCTACTATTTTTGGCACCAAACACAGGATCAATCGTAATAAATTGTTAAATGAGTATTTAAGCGTGTATGTGCGCGTATATGTAAATATCTACTTAAGCGAAACTCCTCCGGGCTTTGTTTATTAACGAATAAATTTTTTTCTGTCAGAAATAATCTAACAAGTAATCCTACCCAAGTGTTACACTCCGATCTTTTTAAAATTTGGTACAAATGTAGTACTATCAAAATTATTTGACCCGTATTTTTTATTTGTGCCCATACGCAGTTTTACGAGTAGTTTACAGACCTTTAAATTCGAAAAATATATATATATATATTTCCGTATTAGAAAATTAATTTTTTGAAAGCCGGGTGTCACATTCAGGAAACTTAATGCGCGACATTTCTTAGTTCGAGTAGATCTTTAAGCGAAGATAGATCGAGATCGATCTTAAAGCGAGGTATCAAAAAAATGCCCAGTCCTAGACTTTAAGATATTTTAAATCTGTTTATGCAACCTTTTTATAATTGTTTGTAGTTGTATGTAGTGATTTTCGATTCGTTCCTAGTTGCACGATTCAGAAATTGCAATTATTTAAATATATGGTTATATCGAAATTTGCCAATTTTAAACATTTTTTAAATCTTCTTTTCCAAATGATTAAGACTCGTTTGTAGTTTGTAGCAATCGTAATCGAAATTTATATTCATGGAAAAAGCAGATTTAAAAAAATTTTTTAAATTGACAAAAATCACTTTTGACGATTTGTTTAAATACTTATAATTTCTATACCGTGCAACTACAAACGGAACGAAAATCACTGAAATCAACTTCAAACAATTCTAAGACTGCGCAATCGAATTTAGAATATCTTAAAATTATGTGCTGGTCATATATAATAGTTTTAATTTTTTTACTTTTACATTAACTGCAATCGAAATACTATCATTTTCCGAATTTAGAAAATTAATTTTTTGAAAGCCGGGTACCACATTCAGGAAACTTAATGCACGACGTTTTTTAGGTCGAGTAGGACTTTAAGCGAAGATAGATCGAGATCGATCTTAAAGCGAGGTATCAAAAAAATGCCCAGTCCTAAACTTTAAGATATTTCAAATCCGCTTGTGCAACCTTTTTACAACGTTTGTAGTTGTTTGTAGTGATTTTCGATTCATTTGTAGTTGCAGAGTCTAGAAATTGCAATTGTTTAAACATATAGTCAATATTTAAATTTGCCAATTTTAAAGATTTTTCAAATCTTTTTTTTCCATATGATTAAGACTCGTTTGTAGTTGTTTGTAACAATTGCAATCGAAATTTATATTCATGGAAAAAGCAGATTTAAAAAATGTTTTAGATTGATAAAAATCACTTGTGACCATTTTTTTATATACTTGAAATTTTTATACCATGAAACTACAAACAGAAAGAAAATTACTACTCACTACAACAAACAATTTCAAAAAACTATTGCCCAAGCAAATTTGAGGTATATCAATGTCGGTTCTTGTTCATCATTTCATTTTTCTTATTTTTTATTTGACTAAATTGAATGTGATACAGATAATATGTAAAATATTAAACATACAAGAATAATTATAATATGAGTAGAATATATTGTAATTCATTTACTAGTTTTCAAAAATAGCATTCTATTTTTAAATGCTTCAAATATTATTTATTGCTGGAATTGTTTCCGTGTAGGGGAATAGCGTTAGAAACAGCTTTATATTACTAATACTTATATTTGGCTGTAAGTCTTATATATATATATATATATATATATATATATATATCAAATGAGATAAATTTAATTATTTAAATCTTACATATTTTCCATCAATTATTTTATGATTTAATTGTTATTGTATAACATTCTCAATCATTATTACGCATGTAATGATGTTGACTTATAAATGAAATGGTACAGTTAATTAAGAAAATTAATTTCTTAATAATTAAAAGCTATCTTTCAATTCCTTCCACGTTTTACTCATCAATATGTTTAATTCATATAAAACATGATAAAATGACAATTGTAATAACGAAAAATGTCTATTGCAACCAAATATAAATATATTAATATATTAAATAAAAATTAATTTTTGCTCGATGTATTTTCTATTGTGGATCTTTAATAATTAATGTACATAACAGTTATCAGATTTGTAATAATTAACTTATGTAATAATGATTCTCAAATTTGCAATAATTAAATTATAGTTTAATTAATCATATCTATAATTGGTATAGGTACATAATAATTGTTACCATATTATTTTGTTTATAATTTATATCATATAGAAAAATATATATTAGTATTACATTAGAAAAATAGATATTAGTATTACATTAGAAATATAATGTCACGTCAATACACACAATGTTATTAATAATAATCGGTTTTCTTACCAATATATTTACTCATTAATTTAGAGATCGATACGCAAATTAATGTAAAGCATAAATTTTGAAAATTTGTGTGTCAGAATATAAACATTACTTATATAAAATTTATTCATAGAGGCTATTACATATTATATATACATATTCTATAATGATAACTAATTCGCTGTTGTTACATAATATCATAATTCTCAATTCGATCAATTTCCATTGCTAATAAATAAATCATTTTGCGGTGTAATAATTCGCTTTCACAAAAGGCATCTTCGATACGGTGGCTTTGTAAGTCTTTCCCCGAATCTCGATCAACACACCGCCACCGGTGTGTGCCCAATCCGGTGGTAGGTATCCCATGGCGATTGGCCGACCCAAGGTCGGACTTGGTCCACCGGAAGTAACACTGCCCACACGCTCGCCTTCCGGCGTCAATATCGATGCACCTTGCCTGGCAGGTGGTCCTTGACCCAGTAAGAGTCCGATACGTTTCTTCGTAACGCCTGTCTTAATTTGCGCAAGAATTCGTTGTGCGCCTGGAAAATTCGCTTCAGCTCTTCGTCGTTTTGCTGCAAAGAATAAAAAAGATCGATCGTTTTATTAATTATTTTATAATTGTTTTATAAATTATAAAACTAGCAAAGACGGAAAACTGGAATAATTCGCGTAACAGAATTAAACAAGCGCAAATACGAATGATGAAAATACTTGATTATTTAAAAACGGTTATAGAGAAGAATATCTGTCGTGATTAAAGATTCATTAACTACTTTTGCGAAAGACTACTGACCTACTAGCCAGGTAAGAGCTGCTTCGATCGGTGTAGTATCCTCATTGATATCATTGCCGTATAAACAGAGTCCAGCTTCCAATCTTAAAAATAATTAATTATAATAATAAATTAAAAAATAGGGAAATATATTAATACTATTTTACTTGACATTAT